GGGGGGAGAGTGTTAAATTGGTTAGCTATAATTCAAACTGTAGGATGTTTCTGCATTTGGACACTTGAAAACAATGCTAACCTGCAATTCTTAAGAATATAGCAAGACATGGTACAGTCCCAAAACTGCTTTGACAGTTTTTGTGGTTTTTTTTTTAAAAACACAAACCCAATTCTTAAGAATATAGCAAGACATGGTACAGTCCCAAAACTGCTTTGACAGTTTTTGTGGTTTTTTTTTTAAAAAAACACAAACCATTTAAAGACAATGAGATAACTAGAAAGAAGTGTGTGTGAATATGCAGCTATAGTGAGACTTCCTCTACCTTTGGAACAGAATAAACTAAGATTGCGCTACTTGCACATAATAAATACTTATGCATAGATTGAGGCTAGAGTTTACCATAGAGTAACTGTCTTGCTAGCCCCTTGGCTTTCTGAAATATTTGGGAATAGTACAGATGACTCTGGATTCTCTGAAAATACAGCTCTTTCTTTGACAACGTCATATTGCAATCACAAGCAGATAAGCTCTTTTCCATTGATGGAAATCATAGGAAGTGTTCATCCTCTTTAGTAAGAGGAGGAGCATTTGCTGTAAGAAAAATGTTAAAAAACGACAGATGCAAGTGTTTCAATTCAGGCTTTTCCCATAGTGGAAGAAAGTTTCATATTAGAGTTGAAAGCATATAATTAAATCACTGGTATAGCTTTGCTGGGGAATTACTGGCATTCATTTAACTTGTAACAATATGCATCGATTCAGTAGTTTGACTATGAGTATCAGATAAAGCACAGAAGACTTCTGTACCCCCCCTCAAAACGTGCTGTCCATTATAGCACTTATACTTAGCTCTAGTTTGATGTAGACAGACCTTAATTATTTTAAAGTAATTCACTGTATAAACATGCAAATTGCCTGAAGACTTAATATGAAGATAAGCTTTTCCAAATCATCAGTTTGCTTTTTTCTAAAAACGTTGGTGTTAGCAGCACTTCTGCCTTTCAGCTTCAGATTTTTCCAGTATTCTTTAGAAGCAGTAGTGTTATAAACCAGTTTACCCAATGATGTGTTTCTGAAGTGGGGTTTATTTCATCCTATTCTTAGTTTGGGGAAAGAACTAGAGTGGATCCTCACTTAGGCCTCGAATTTTGTACCCCATGCTCTATTCTAAGGTAGTTTTTCAGGTGAATGAAATATGCAATACATAGCTGGACTATTAAGATTTAATTTCTGAAAAATAAAAAAGCCTCATTCCTTCCCCACTCACCTGCTTTTCCATTCATACCCTTTTCCTCCATTTCTTGAAGGCTCGAAACCTTGAAAAAGTAAATTGCTGCTGGCTATATCTGTGAATGATCACTCAGAACTCCCTTGCTGGTATATGAGACATTGCTAATGTCCCCTTAAATTGATCTTTTTGCTTCTTGCACAAGAATATTCATCATGCCACCAGCAGCCAGTATCTCATTCAGAGATTTCCTAGACAAGAAGGCAGAAGACCTTTCATTAAGATGTACACAGCAAGCGTCAGCTCAGTTAGGTTTCTCTGTCTGTGCCTTTAGTGTGACTGATCTGTGTGTTCCAAATCAAGTCAGTTTCTCAAATATTTCACTGAGTTACCACATATCCTAATGTTTTCTCTGGACCTGAGAATTTCTTCAAGTAATCCCCTAAGTTTATCGCTAATACAGTCCATTCTTCAGTAATAATTCAACTACTATGCATTTTTTTTTTTCTAGTAAGGTAGGCATTCAGAGGTTTGGTGTTCTCTTCTTCATAATGGGTGTTGGTTTTTTTTCAGGGTAGGTGAAAGTCAACCTGATGCATATTTTTAGAGAAGGAGTTGATTTCTTTACAATCATAAAGTCAAAGACATGATGCTGGAGGATAGTCCTTTTTCTGTTGCTGTTTTGTCTCTGTTTCATGTAAAGGTCAAGCAAAGATGTTTTTTCAAAAATAAGCTGTTGAGCCCTGAAGGGTTAGCCCAGAACTTTATGGGTAAACATTTATTTGGAAATCAGCTTTTCATTGGAGCAGGAAGCCTTTGATCTTGTGCATGCTGCATTATTCTTCACAAAGTCCATTGCTTGTCTTACACCTTAAAGGTTTATTGACTTGTTCTGTTGCTGTCATTTTTGAGTTGTCAGGATGAGACATCTTTCTGAACAGAAAAAATAAAAGTATACAGAAGGACAAGTTTTTTTCCTAATGCCTCTGTGCATCCAGTTTTATTCCCTTTATAAATCTGTTAACGTTAAATTAGGTACATGAATTTACCTGGCTTCCAGAAGTTTGTTGACTTGAAGTTCTCACCAGATAACTTGTTTTGGTCAAGTGCCTTTTAAACCTTGCTTTCAGCTATTGGCCAGTTTAAGTGGCCAACAGGACACCTTAGATGGCTAAGAACATTAAGTGCAATTTTGATTTCTTTCCTGTTACAGACTGGAAAGGCACAGCAGCTGATGCTGATTGTGACACATCATGGTGTGATGCATAAGGGAGTCTTGAATTCTGTATAGCTTCCTAGCTCTTTTAAACACAGATCTCTTAAGGCTACTTACAAAGCAGTATTTTGGGAAAAGAAGTGTCTTTTTCAGTTATTTAATAACTCTAATATTAAAAGTATCATTATTGCATAAATATGCACACTTAGTTGTGTTTTGGAGAACTGGTCTCAGTTGGCAAGGTGTTAGAAATTGTTTATGCATAGTAACGGAGCTCATTAAGTCAGCTGCAGTATGCTCTGGGAATCAAATGGCATTATGAATTATTAGGTGCAGGTACATGTATTTTGATTTTGTGACTGTTAGTGAAGTATTTGAGCACTTCCTGATACTGCATTTAGTAATGATTAATGTCTGCTATGTCTGTCTTCTCATCCTAGCGATGAGAAGCATGTGTCTTGAAATTTTAATGGCACATATGCCTAAAGAGGAGCTTACTCTGTAGCTGGAAACAAGTCCTAAAAGATGCACTTGCTTTCATAAGACATACCAAAGCTGAATGAAAGGCACTATCCGAACTTACTCTAAGGCAAATGCTAGTGATAACTAGTTCAACAGTTCCGATCAATGACTCTACCTAAGAAGGATGTTCTTCTAGGAGAACCATTCCCGATATTGATAGAACCACCTGCTAACTGCATTCAAACTAACTGCAGTTGTACACTCCTGGTTATCAGCTCCTTAGGCTAAGGCTTCTAGGGGAAGTGTTAAACAAATACAACTTACACTGGAGGAACATACTATTTTGAAGGAAACTTTCCCAGCCCCCACCAGATGTACGCTCTCTTGTAGCAGATGGACCAAGCCCCTCTCCTTGTGAACCACTCACCAATATCAGCTCAGCTGATGTGTTGTAAGTGACAGTGTGCGAGGGAGGAAATTAACCATTGCTGTGATTAGTATTTAGAAGACTGATAAATCTTGTTTTAATCTTTCAAACAAAACTTTATTAGACCAACTTTCATTAACAACACACTTCATGCTAATGGTTTGTTTTACAATCTACTAATTGTTATCCTTATGTATTCAAAGTCGTCAGTCCTTAACAGTCATATCCTACATGAGCTGTGAGGATAGAATACCGTCGTGGTGACGCTGTGTAGTTGGCACCAGTAGCCACTATACTTGATGGTCTGAGTCACAGAAGTCAAAGTGAGCAGGCTCAAGAGCACTTAAATAAGGAAAGCTGGAACTGAAATGGACATCTTCTTCCCTCAAATTAAGGAGCTTGTCCTTTTATAAGGTGTTTTTGTTTCTGGACAACTCCCGCCCCTTGACCTCTGCCCCTGGACTATATGCTGTGTGATACTTGGAGAGGCATTACTTTTCCAGGTCATGGCAGGTGCCTTACCCTGTTGCTTGCCTGTTTGGTTCCCCCCCACCCCCTTAGTTGCTACCACATTTTCTTAAAGCAAAAACAGTCTTTTCCTAGCTCTTAAGGTTATGTGTCTTCAGTGCATCTTCAGTGCCTTCTTCCTTAATGAACTGTTTGTGTTTCAGGGGCCTTTGTTTTCAACCTGTGTCCCTATTTTCAAGGCCTTTGCTGCTGTTCTGTGATTAAACTCTACATCATAACAGGAGACCTGTGGCACCAAGTGCCTGTTCACACGCCAAGTTGTAGTAACAGGCTTAAACTTCTGCGACTGGAGCCTTGTGCAGTTAGCGTACAACTTATGGCCTGTTATTAGCAATGGCAGTACTATTTTTACTGAATACCAACTGAAAGGCCTCTGTTTTAGCTACAGACTGTTCCCTCAAAAATCACTGTCCTCTGTGTTTACAGTCCTCATAGAGTAATGGACATTTAATAAAGTTACCTGGTGGCTGCATGAACTTATACCACTGCTGCACCCCCAGAATGAATTCTTAATCCATAGAGGAAGGAAAGGGACAGGTACCAGTGGGAGAACATTTTTCAGCAGAAACACCCTCTTCACTTCTAACCTCACTTGAATTCTCAAGAGAGACTAATAAAATCTGTTCAAAAGATAAGCCTTAAAATTCATAATTCCCATTAAATAGTAAGAAGCGTGGACTGAGTACATCTTTCTGGTTTTACTATGTGTTGTAATTCCGTTGCTTCCCCCAGCACTTACTCCCTCCCAAGTTTATGCTTAATAAGTTACCTTCTATATGTTTCACTCAGTTCCAAAGGAGAGGCGATCACATGGCTCGTACTCTTTTGCTCTACAAATGCTAACTACTGGGGTTTTTTTTGTTTTGGGTTTGCTTTTTTGTTTTAATTCAGTCTAATTGATTAAGATATTCATTAAACCAAGAGTAACTGTTGCTAGTTTTGAAGTCTTCACTTACAGCTTTGAACCTGGAGAAGGGCTTTTGTGTCAGAGCTTTTACAGTTTTTCCAGTTATATTAGGCTGAAAGAAGGTATAGCTTCTTGTTTGTAACCTTGCTTCTTTTATACATTCTTACTGTATTCCTTCTGAATGAAATACTTGTTATGAAACTGCTGTGCATTGCATTTAGGATGCCTCCATGTGCCATGCCGTGCCATGCCTTTATGTCCTTAACGTCTCATGAAGTTGGTGCCCTATTCAGATTGATGTGTCTGCATCCATACATAAACTAATTTGGCTGTAGTGGGTATTCTATGTTTAAAGGCATGTCTCAGAGCTACTCTTTACTATCTGTAACTAATAAGCAATCAGTTCCCTAAGCCAGTACGAAATTTAATAGATTGTCCAGCATTGTTGGATTTATTTTCTGTAATTGCTTGACTAACTGATGATTCCCTACTCAAAATCACAACTTGTGGAGTTGTCTGCAGACATTATAAAAATTATGCATCTCATTACCATAAAATATTTTTAAAACAAATTTATTAAAATAGTAATTCTATTATTTGAATTGTAGCTGTCTTCAGATTTATTTCTACCCTGTGATGTTACTCCTCGTTCTTCATGTTTTAGCATTTCTGCTTTTGAAAAGATGAATTTTCTCTCCCAAGACAAGATCTGCTTTCAATTGATGGTGATGTTAATCGCAATAAACAAGTGTCACCGCATCTAGGTTTTTTGCAATTTTGCATAATGAACTAATTTTGAGCATTGGGAGAAAAATTTTAAAACCTTGTAACCATCTACCTAGAAACTTGTCTTTGGTAAAGTAGACGTTTTCACTTGATATTGCCTGCTGTAATTTAGGAGTGAGGGAAGATGATTTTTTAAAAAATGTCGTCTTTGTATGGCTTGATGGAGATGAATCACTCTGTAAGCAGTTCTCTGTCCTAGCTAATACCATCTGGTGCTTGACTTTGTCTTTGCTTCCCCCTCCTCTTGCAGATCCTGGAGTCTCTGTGGATAGTGATGAGTCGCAATGTGAGCCTCTTGTTTACTACAGTTACAACATTAGTGACAATCCTTTTCCATAGTGGGACAGCTCTTCTCAATTTTGTGCTTTCAGTGGTAAGTAGTATGTCATCGGTTTACATGGTCCGTTTTGCTGAAGGAACCTAATTGCATGTGTTGTAACAGTGAAAAATCAAACCTAAAGCATTGAAAACATCTTCTAACCTTATCTAATACCAAAATTCTTTAAGATTTTGCAACTTTCAAATCTGTTGTTTGGGGGCATTCTAGGCAAAGGGCAAGATTTGTGTAACTTCCACGTTAAGGAGCTGGCAGTCTTCCTGTCATTCTGTTCCTGGAAAACTCTTGTTTCTGGCCTTGAAGATACTGAGCTGTAACTTGTGATATCCTACATAACTACTGAAATCTTATGACATGTCCTCATAAGCATATCCTTAAACAAGCCAATGCTCTCGGAAGAGGGGAAAAATTGTTACAAGGAAATGTCAGCAAAAATCACAAGTATTACCTTATATTCCCTTTTTTAATGAAGCATCTTCAGCAAATCTGTCTGAGGAGGTTGTTGCGTTGTTTTTATTTAACCTCTGTGAGCTCTTAATTGCAGAATTCTTCCTATAAAAAGTTAATTATTATTAATGTTATTGCCCATGCTGAGTAGTAGCCTCTGAAACCTTTTTATTAAAGGTGTTTTCTTTAAAGGATGTATTACTTTTTAGTGTATTATGTGAGCTAGATGTCTACAGTTTCTTTTGTTTCTAAATGCCACAGCTGTGTGGAGTAATTTATAATGGTAGAGGTAACTTCTTTCTTCTCATTTGCTGTGACAACTGTTACTTAAAATAAAAGTCTCCTAATACACTGGCCTGGGACTTTTTCCTGTTTTAACTAAACAAATACTGATCTTGGAAGCTTGACTGAAATCCACGTCCTGGTTTTTAGTTCAGGATTCAAAAACATTTGTTAGAAAACAAAGTGTTTTGCCAGTTTAACTTCATTGCCTTCATTGATGCTTGCTCAGGAGGGAGGTCTTTGTAGACAAAGCTGCAAAATTGAAATAATGTTTTAACAGCATTTCAAGGCAGCTGTGTGGATTCTCTTCAATATTTAAGAAAGAAGTCACAGTAAGACTTAATGGAATGGCTGTCTTGAACTGAAGAAAATCAGTGCCACTTAATTTTGTTGTTCTCTGGTTATCTTCCAGTTAGTAAAGAAAAGATTGCATGGGAATATTTCATTTCTTTTCTTCCTTAGTTCACAACTTCACCCGTGATGACACATTGAAAACAGTGTCTGAGAAGTTAGTATACTTAATGACAAGTTTGGATAATAATTGGCAGATGATTTCAATGCACTCATTGCTCAGACACAAAATCTAGCTCTAGATGCCTAGTGGCTTATATCAAGTTCATCACATGCTGTTGTTGTGATGCATGATCCTGCCTTTTTGACTGTCAGCAGGGTCCTGCCACTTGCTGGGGCACTGTGCAGTCAGCTGGGTTAGCAGAGCTAGTTGGGATATTGCTGTGTTGGAATTCTTTTAAAGATTAGATGCCCTAAAGGCTACTCTGTTTCCTCCACATCTGTTGTAGGTTGAACATGCTACTTAAAATGGTCATATAAAGCTTTCCTCACCAAAACACATCAGTCCCGCACTCTTGGTTTCTTGGATTTGACCATGAGCTTCTGTTTTGCACTCCTAGTGATCTTGCGTATATAGGAAAGGTTAGTTTTAATATATGTATAGGTTCTTTCTGTAGATTCTTGATAATGGTAGCCTTTGAAATGCAAACAGCAGAACTGATAAATTTGAAATACTTCAACTTTTAAGAAATAAGGCAAAAAATCACTGAACAACTTTGTCCTGTTAAGTGTACTTTAAATGTGTCAGGGTAAAGGGATATGCTTGCCTCCATTTTTATGCACAGAAAATGTCATGTATAAGTGTTGGTGTTCTTGTAACTGTATGAACTACCTCTTTTGAAGGCATTTAAAATTTGCATGCCTAATTGAAGAGTAGTTATTAATGCTGTTAAATGCTGTGGGAGAGTGGTATAACTTAGTCTTGGTTGCACTGTATGTTTCATAGGCCATTGCGTCTATCCAGAGGCATGGTTTCTCATCTTTATGAGAGTCTTCCGCAAAGGTTCTTGCTACAAAAACTAAGCAGATTTTCTTAAAACACAAAAAGGTAAATTAATGGAACTTGTTTTAATAGTGTTTAGTGTGGGTTTGTTAACAGCTTATAACTGAAAGAGAAAGGACTTAAATTTAGGATATTCAGTAAATAGCCTGCACTAAATAAAGATTAATACAGACCATTATTTGGGGCAATAAGTAAATGAAAATGCTAGTTGTCGTGAGAATTTAGTTGAGCCTTAAAGTACTTTTTAGGATAACTTAACTGAACTGTCATGGAGTCCACGTAGAAATATAACTGCTTCTTAATTTTTCCTTATGATTATTTTTTCTCTTTCGCTGCTGCAACAGCTTAATGCTGTAAGCAGAGAAAATCCAAATGTGACCCTAGGATAAATCACTGCAGCTTTCTTAACTTTTGTGATGTGCATTGTTACTGAATCCCATTTGGTATTATGTCATTGTTAGATTTGCCTGCTATTCATGTTCCTTCCTTCAGAGCTAAAGAAAAACACCCTCCAAGTGAGGAAGAGAAGATGACCAGAAGTGACCTTAAAAGTTGTTGTTCTTCTGGGGTCTCAAGGCATACTTATATCTTTCGTTAGCAAGATTCTCCCCCCTATGTCTTGTAGAGGAAATAAGATTCCCCCCCCCCCCCCCAGTTTGCTTTCCAAGGGTGGCTATCTTTAACAATTTAGTTTTTCTTTAAGCTGAGATTTCAACATGAGCTGTTTTCAGCTCTTTTGGAAAGTCACAGTTTCCTGGGAAAACTCTCACTATTCTCCAGTAAGGAGAAAGAGCTTTTGTATAGAATTCATTTTGAATGTGAAGGCAAATAGTTTCAGGCAAATAGTTTCAGAGTGTTTGATTGTTCTAAACCTAGTTTAGTTGCTGCATCTTTGACTGCTACCTGGCCCAATATCCTTTCCCCATCTCCTTTTTTTTTTTTTTTTTTTTTTTTAAATGCAGTTTTGGAACGGAATTTTTACATTTTGAATGGACTGAATGCTAAAGCTAGGCAGACAGCATTTGAGCACACTTTGTGTGTTGCTGTGGTCCAGCCGGCAGCATCAGCTGAAAAAGCTGACTCTCTTGAAAATGCCGTGACTGTTTTGACAAAAGATATATTTAATGGGCTAACGAGGGAAGTTTTTTTTTCTAAATGTGAAACAGAAGGAATTCTTTTAAATTATGTCTAGGTAGAGCTGTGTTTAAAAGAAAGCACTACTCCAGCTTTAACTTCACTCTTAATTTTTCATTTTGCAGGATTCTTAGTTGCTACAGAAGAGTTTTTACTAGATTGAAGTGTCACAAACTATTTAAAATTTTCCAACAAGATAATTCCTGAAGTGGTTAGCTTTTCAACTGATTACATTTCAGTCCCGTTTTAGTCATCTTGAATAAAAATTAAAATAGTGAATTTTATTTTGATAAATGGTTTAAAAAATTGTGCTTTAAAACATAGAAATAATGGACACTGTTCAGAACCTCAATTTTGAAAAATACATCTTCCATCAAAACATTCAATAGGAAGTAATCTGCGTAGCATATATCCATCCATGATCCAGTAAGACTGTATTCAGATCCTCAACAGATGTTTGAAAACTGATCATTAGTTACAAGAGTGCCACTTCTATTTCACTTCTGAATACAAGTTCCTATCCGCACACACATGCATGTGGATGTATATATATGCCTTTGTGTGTGTGCGTATATATACGCACACACGTATACTCACACATGCACATGCTCACACATTCTGCTCATACTCTGTTACAAAGATCGGAAGAGAAAAGCTCCATTTGGCTGATGGGCATCTACAGTGCTGCGGGGAATACGCAAATTTTTGATGCTATTAAAAGAAAAAGGGCACGAACAAAGCTTTTGGGCAGAAAATTGAGTATGAAAGGCAGATAGAAAAATATTGCCCAAGTCTATGGACCTGACACACAAGCAATTAAGTCATGTGTTTCTTGATAGATGTGGAAATGCTGAATTACCATTTTAGTATAGAGTGTTTACCCATAGCTTACTCCTTGAATTCAGTCTATCCCCCCTCAGATTAGAGTATTCAATGTTTTGGGCTACAGAACAAATTCTACAGCAAGAAATAGTAATTGTTTAACAATGGAAGGATCTTCTTATTTTATCTTTGGTGAATTCCTCCTCATACTCATCAGCAGGATCTTGAATTATTGCTTAGGAAACAATTTAGGTAATGTTTGAGAACTCAGATATCCTGTAAAAGAGGTCTGAAAACTTTCAGACTCCAGTTGATATAGGGTAGGACATATCTTTTTGCCGCTGACTATACTATTGAGGCTATTCTACTTGTTTGAAGGGTCAGCAAGCCACTTGATAATAAATTATGTTCTGTGACTCCTGCTTCTTTTTTCCAGTTGATGTAGGGTAGGACATATCTTTTTGCTGCTGACTATACTATTGAGGCTATTCTACTTGTTTGAAGGGTCAGCAAGCCACTTGATAATAAATTATTATGTTCTGTGACTCCCGCTTCTTTTTGCATTTCTGTACCTATTGAGCTAAAGCAAATATGTTAATTTCCCACAATGCTGATGATCTAAAGTTCAGTTGATTTTGTATGGTGCTGTGGTTACATGCATCTTGTCTTGACAGGAATTGAGTTAGGTTTGTATCTTTTCCTAGCTTGTAGTTCAGTTTAACACCATTTTATTCCATTGCTGTTCATGCCCAGCTGTCACTTTGGCTTTTACAGTTCAGGTGGGTATGTGTATGTTGGTGTGCTGTTACTCCCTAAGAAAGCAAGTTTCTTCTGTAATCACTGGGGAAGAGCAGGTTTTCCAGTCAGTACAGGTGTTGTGCATGTTGCCACTTGAACTAATCCCCAGCTCTTATTCATAGCCTGCCTCAAGTCAGCTCGGTATGTTTCTCGTACCACAGGGAATCAAGCTTTGCCTGTTTGCTGCAGTTAATTTGCTCATTCCCTGGCTGCCGTACTCTTTTCAAAAGGCAACATCTTCAGAAGTTAACTGAGGCTGTCCTAATAAAACAAGATCCAGTGGAGCTGTGTTCCACTTTGCTTTTTGTACGTGTCAGGATGAGCGGATATTGTACTTAGAGCAATATGCTGCTTTCTGTGTTGAAAACCACGCTGCAAGAAGGATCTGTAGCCGGATCCCAGTGGAAGGAAGACAAAACACCACCTGGATGCCTGCTTCAGTATAGGGAGTTTTGTAGTGAAATCAGGAAATATTACAGTAACTTAGGAGAAATGGCAGGCCCTATCAAGGAGAAAATAACCATACTTGCAGCATTACAGAGGATGCTAAAATCTGATTCAGGTTTTAAGATTTACTCATTTGAAATTGTAACAAAACATAGCTGATACTGCTACTGGCACTGGATTATTTCCCATTAAACCAATGCCTAATTCTTTTGGGTGTTTGGGTTTGTTTTTTTTTTAATGATCTCAAAATGAATGTTAAGAGTATGCTGTTTAAATGTGCTGATGTAATGACTTGTTTTAGTTGATAGATTGGTTTATCACCCAAGGCAGAAGTTACACACCTGGGAAGATGGAATACAGCCTACACCTATATATGACATTTTGGAAAGGGGTCACAGTAGGTGAACAGCTGAGTGTGACTTCCAAGTTAAAGGCTGGGAGGGAAGGGGGAAGTAGTAGTAACATTTCAGAGTAGAAAGGAATGAGGAAGAGAGACAAATGGATGGCATTCTTGAGGCTGCTAATGGAATACTGCATGTTGGGCTGTCTGCATCTTTTTTTCTGAGCATGTTCAGGGAGAATACAGCAAAAGGGCATGAGGTGTCTACAGACTGGATAAAATGCTTGAAAGTAAGAGCCTTACGGAGGTCAGGCTGTTTGGCTTACCAAAAGATTAAGGTGTGGTTTATTCAAGCATACGAGTAGGTTGGAAATAAGGAAAGTGAAAGAATTCTTTTTAATCTTGGGAAGAAAGAACGGAGATCTAAGGCTTACAGATGAAGCAAATATAAGCCATAGTTTACCAATGGAGCACATAGAATGGATTTTCCTTGTTTGAGGTATTCTGTTTCAAGCTGGACACATTTCTGTGATGTATGCTTAGCCCAAGAACTTGCTGAGCCCACTAACAGGAAAATAAGTAAAACATAGTGGACTGCAACATACAGGAAGCTAATACAATCTGATCGTATTTTTTTTGGTCTTTAAACTGAAACAATGGAACTGCCATTACTTCTGCTGAGACTCATCTTCAGACTCACAGAAGGAACATTCAGTCAGGATTGCCAGCCTAATAAATATTATAAATTTTCTGTTTGTGAGTCTTTGTTTAATTCTTATCTGATACCCAGCTACATAATGATTCTTGAGACAACTCAGATTTATTTGGCAGGGTGGGTTTTTTGGGGGGTTTTTTGGTTTTTTGTTGTTTTTTTTTAAGAATAGATGTTACTATTCAGCAATTCTTTGATCTACTAAACATGCTGGGAAAAAAAAAAACAAAAAAACCCAACTAGAATGTTGATCTAGATTGTTTGATCTAGCTGTGACTTTGGGAAGAGGCTAAACAGAGCTAAAAGTTTTATAATGTTTAGCTATAACTGTTATGTCCTTTGTGGAGCAGGGGAGAAAATTATTCTTCTAGCTCTGTGTGTTTCTCTAAATCCAAGCTTGTGGAATAGTATTTCGTGCCTTTCCAATGAAGTTCAATATCTGAAGCATAGCTGCATACTGTAGTTCTGGAAAGTATTTATTGCCTTTTAAATTAAAACTCCAATTTGTTTTGCAGGTGATTTTTCTGACCACACTGTTCTACCTATTGAGTTCCAGTGATGAGTACTACAAGCCAGTAAAGTGGGTGATAAGCCTGACACCTTTGTCTCAGCCAGGTGCCTCCTCAAATATAGTTGGCCAATCTGTGGAGGAAGCAATAAGGTATGTTGTTGATTTCTTGCCCTTTCTGGAAAATTCTTTTATAAATTTGATGTTCAACTACAAATACTTAGCAATTGTAACAGCTCATGTTTCAAAGACGAGTTGCAAATCTCAAAGATTTTCAAGAATCTAGCATTGATAACTTTTCCCCCTTGATTGTTAAAAAAAGCAATTTGGTTGGACTTGCCTAAAAAAAATTTCAGAGGTCTCTGCTGTAGTGAATACTAGTATTTTATAAAACTGGTACACCCATCACATCCCTAACCCATCAGGAAGCAGAGTGCGTTTGCAGCTGCGTTGGCAGTAACAGCTAGTGCAGCTCAGTAGGAGCAGATTCATACAGCGAAACAGTTGAAATGGAGGACCTGACATCTGTGTTGTACACACTTCAGCGTTACTTAGTTTGAACTATTTTTAGTCTAATCTTGGGGACTAAGTACCCATTTGCAGCTGAAGTGTATTAGATATGCTCCTGGAGCACATTTTCCAGTTCATTTTCATCTGAGAGAAATCTAGTTCATGATCTCCATGAACCAAATTACACCAAAGGGAACAACAGGGGAGCGCTTTCCTTATCCCACTTAAAACACTACTGTACTGCACCTCCAGAGCGCATCCACAGTGTTTCGTGCTTAGTTATCATTCTTATGTTTCACCTCTAAACTACTACAGTAACTGAAGGAGGATTTTTTTGAGTTTTTAAATATGGTTCACTGAGATTTCAAAATAAAGTGATTTTTGTGGTGGTACGGTAATGTATTTCATTCATCACAGGTGAATGAAACTGTCAGCTTTCACCTGTTAGCAGCTTGAAACACTAACATGTGGGTAACGTAATAAATGGATTTTAAATAAGGTATTTAAGTCATAGCTCACTTTTTCAAAAAAGTTGATGGGCTGGGCAAAGTCAACAGACTCCATGCTAAATTCTATACATCCATTGTCTCTTACACCACTGCTTGCTGTGTCTTCTTGCACGCATATACAAAACGTGAATAGACTTTAAAGCGGCGATGTATTAAAACTGCTTTCCAAACTCATTGCCAAATGTTTGCCATTGTTCTTAGGTGTACTTTACAAGTGAGTATTGTTATCGGTTACTGGAATTAAGCTGTTTCTGGGTACATTTTAAGAATGAGAAAGTTATATCATGCTGTGTAAGGTCTTGAACAACAACGATAACTGCTGTAGTAATTTGAAATGAAGGGGCAATCCAGGTAGAAAGCAACAAATTTGAAATTCTGCCAAAAAATTAATAGCCCTTCTCTTGAGTGAATGCTATTGCATTTTCATTGATCACATGGTTAGTATCTCAGTTCTCTCCTGAAGAATGCGAGCAGATTTAGAAACTGAAACTTGTCTCACGAATTGTTCTCTTTAGCCTTTGGTAGAGGGGAACAGTGTCAAAAATAGGATATGGCTTCTCTGGGCATGGATACTCTGCAAGGAGGATTGTATTAAATGCAATTTTAAGTTTATAGGTCTGTGACACAGGTGACCCAAGATATTTGTCAGAGTTTAGAATGGTGGAAAGAAAGAAAATAATGTTGAGAGAAGCCACAGGAAAACAAGTAGGAAAGAGCCAGCATGCATCAGTAACTGCAAATATGATGAGAAAAAGCCAGTGTCTGGAGAATGTGGAATGTGAAGCTGCTTGTCATACGCAAGGGAACTCAGTCTGTGTGTTCGCTAAGGTAGCCTGAATCAGTCATTCATATCTGTTTGTTTGGAGTAGCCTGTACTTGGTGCCTTATTTGAATTCTTTGGAATGTCGCTTCTGAGATTTTCAAAAGTTCCTCTCTTACTCAATTGTACCTAAGGATTTATCATAATGCTTCTAGATTAGCCTGCATTCCACTCAATACTTACTGTGATCTTCATTATGTAAATATGAAGAGTATAGTAAGAAATGCCCATGAGTTTATGCATGCCCAATTTGTTGCCATATGAAAAACAATTGCCACATTTCTTTTGTCACAAAGTAGCAGCTATCCTTTGTTTTTGAAGATGAGTTGTTGCTAGAGGGGGTAGGAACCTAAAAATGACTTGTTCACCTCATCTATAGAAGGCATGCAAAATGGATATTAACACTTGGTGGTAGGATGGGAGGAAGAGGCTCCATTTGTATTATGAATTATCAAATAATGAAACTTCTGTAGTCACTTTCATCATTAGACTGTGACAGCATTACACAACATGAATTCAGCCTCAAAATACTCACACATTCAAGTTCACCAAAAGTGTAGCAAGATCAGGTTATAAACCCTGAAAGTCACCAGCTGGGTTCCAGCTTCCCTCACGCTTCAGCAGGACGTAGCACGTGCACAAAACTAACAGTGCATCTAACTAGTCCTGTCCAGAGGGCAGGGATCCTCCTGGCAAGAGGTGCAGTTACACGTCTGTTGCTCATGGACCAAATGACATGAAAATACTCTTCTTCCATGTTGTCAGTCACTTCTGTTGCTTTTTTGCTTAAATAGTGTTTGTACAAAGCACTACGGAACTTGTATACAATCAAGGAAGTCTGTTCCTTTGTGTCCTTTGCCATTTATTTGTGAGGAGAGGAGCAAGGGGGAAGGAAAGGGAGGGCAATCAGCAAATGGTTTCTGTAGCTCGAGAAATCCCTTAACTTGAAGCTGTTCTCCAGCAAGCACCTAATCAAACCAAGACCTTTTCCTGTTACAGTTTCTCTCATCAGAGCTGTGTTGTGATTTTTATTGTCCTGACTATAAGTAGCTATAGTTTTTATAAATATTTTTCTAACTCCCTTGGTGATGAGTTTGCAAAGGCAGTGACAGTTCTCTGTTCAGGTGGATTGATTTGTGAGCTGTATTGGGGTAAGAACAGCTCTCCAGCCTATTTTAAGCCAAGTGTTGAATCTGACTGTTTCTGTCACAATACCTCAGATGTTAAATTTGCACTTCACTAGTGGGAGGAAAAAAAATGCAGCTGTGGTGACACTGCAGGAGTTTTAAAGAAGTGGAAGGGAATCCAAGAGTTACCTGCTGCAAGCCAAGGGATGAAATGCCCTCCTGGCCTTTGATAGGAAATCTGTTTGTCCAGAACAGAAGGGAGGCAAAATGCCAGCAGCACGTATCAGGTGGTGGGAACCACCAGGGATTCACCAAGGGCAAGTCATGCCATGCCTGACCCGAGAGCTTGCTTTGCTAGCCTAGTGGTACAAGGGCAGAGCAGTGAATGACAGAAGATGACTTGGAGGCATACGAAGGACAAGGTGACGTCAGGGAACACTCAGTACAGCTTCACCAAGGACAAGTTGTGCTGGGACCAACGTAAGCCTTGCTTTGAGGAGGTGACTGTTCTAGCCTGACAAGGGGAGAGCAGTGACTGCCATTTACTGACTTTAGCAAGGCCCGTGACGCAGCTGCCCACGCTATCCAGATGGGTGAGGCGTGGACAGGCAAAGGGAACTACACAGTGGGAGGACCACTGCCTTGTGCTCAGCAGGACAAATCCCACCTGCAGGGCAGCTGCTAGTGGTGGTGTGCCTCAGGTCAGAGGTGGGGCTGATGCTGGTGATGGTCTGAAGTAAGGGCCTTGGGTGGTAGTGGGACAGGCCACCTTCCGCAAGGTTGTGGGTGTCCTTCCCATCTAGAGAAGGCAGGACAGCTCATGTTCAAAGAACCGCAGAATCACAGAGGTTGGGAGAGACGCTTGGAGGTCCCCAGTCCAAGCTGCTGCTCAGAGCAGCCCCACTTGGATCCCGTTGCTCGGGACTTCGTTCAGTCATGTTTGGATACCCTCAAGGACAGCAGCTCCCCAGCCCCTCTGGGCCGTGTCTGAGCAGCCTCATGGTGACAATCTCTTCCTTTTATCTAGCTGGGATTTCTCCTGGGCCTGGTGCTGCTCGTTCAGCTGTGGTTGCCAGTCAGGTCCACCCCTGAGCCTTCTCTTCTTGATGCAGACCAGAGGCAGCTCACTCCGCCTGCCCTTGTGTGCCCCTCACCATCTCACAGGCTTTGGGCTGGGCCCATAACAAATCTTTTCTGGACTGTGGAGACCAGGAGGGGACAGAGGAGTCCAGATGACGTTGCCAAAGTGCCAAAGAAGAGAGGAGGCATTTTTACTGTGGTGGTGGTGGTGGTGTTGTTTTATTGTTTGGGGGTTTATTTTTAATGGTTTATTGCCCAGTCTTGAAAAGAAATTCTAATGAAACACCTAAAAGGGACCTTAAGGGTGAAGTCCAGCACTTCTTCCTGGCAGAACTGTAGTCTTCTGCTTTTCCAAAGCAACAGCTGTCTCTCTAACGTCTTTGCTTGATCTGTTGCTACTCTTTGTGCATTGCCACCAAGTGTCTGGCTTCATCTTCAAGAAGCTCTTGCTCTTCTAAGACTTTAGACACCCAGAGGGGAGAGAGGGATGCAAGAAGCGCCTTTGCTCAGGGTGAAGCTTCTCAGCCTGGGAGTGTAATTCAGTCTTTCTAGGCTTGTCCCGGGACAAGGAGGTAAAGGGAAACAGAAGGGATGGCCTGCTGCTGGTTTGGTCTTTCCCCGTGTTGTGAATGTGATTCTGTTTGTAAGCTGGGCATTTGCTTTTGCCCCAGATACCTGCTTTCGGAGTTGTCCCAGTTCTCACAGGTAAGTCCTGCTGGCCTCCAAGCAGTCCTCCAGAAAAGGACTGGCAGTGTTTGGACTATAGAACAAACGCGGATTTGTAAATTGTTCATAAATCAGTTTTCCTAATTTTGAGTAACCTTCATGATGAAAATGCTCCTATCATTTTAGAGTAAGCACCTGTGTGTGCTTTGTTGCTGTATACTGCCTTTGCTCCTCCTGATCGGTTGCCTCTTGGGGAAGGCAGCATTCAATCTGTGGAGGGAGAGGGAAGATCAATATTTGTGTGATGATTCCATAAAAAACCAGTAAAAAGCCTGGGAGGAAGATCACCACCAAAGGCATGTGTGACCACAGGGTTTTTTGACTGATGCATGAAGTACTGGTGCTACTTCAAATAAAGCAACTCATTCAAAATTCACAATG